CAAAGTTATTGAATGATGGAAACATGAAACTTGAAAAGGGATCAGAGAACAATAGAAAAAAGAAATTGAAAATCTTGACAGTGGAAAAATAAAAAATTAGATTTAAGACTGTCACAAAAAGAGATTTGTAAAAAATTAAAAGGGTAACAAGCAAGAAAAAGTGAATTGATGCTTGTGTCTATGAATATGTATGCATATGTGTCTATAGATGTGTGTATATGTGTATATATATATACGTAAAAGAGATGTGCGTAAAAGTGTCCCTGTTGAACTTCCTGAACACACCTGCAGGCAGCTCGATCTGACGTGTACAGATTATGGTAGAGAGTGTTTGTCAATGGCTGGACTAAGGAGTCACTTGAGAGTGCAATAATGGAGAGTAGCAATTGACTATAAAGCCGTAGATGTCAAGAAACTGAAATCTGATATTTGCGGTAAGATATGCAGATCCAGAAGCGGTTTCATTTGACATTTTAAATTGCATGATAATGTAACACCCACTGTTGTACCGCTTAATTTCCCTGTTTGTGCCAGAATATTTAAGGTCTCTTGCTGGGCTAAAGAGCCACATTCATTCAGCACATCTGTAGATATTCTCCAAAAAGATATGTAGTAATGGCTGTACTCAGACACGAGTTGGCAATCACCATATATATGTGTGTGTGTGCGTGTATGTTTTATGATGTTGGATGGCTTTGGTTGTCACTTTTGCTATGTCAAACAAAAGGACATTATCATTTCCAAAATGTTTGTTATATTCGAGACTTCATAGACGCCGGTACAAGTAGTAATGCCTTCCAATAATATCCGCACTAGCAATACTTGTTCAAGTAGTAATTGCCAAATAGTATAATGATCAGAAGAGAATCATAATCTGTATATTAATAGAGTAGAGAGAGTGGATAGACAAGAAGAGTGAACAGTGATCGTATAGTCATCATGCTACTTCCTATTTATTCATTTCCTTTATGATCATATGATCTACTTAATAATGGAATCACCTGTGTTGCTCGCTGGCGATCTAGTTTCAAACCACAGTGTCAGCAATGACAATTACTCTTATACAACAGTATGTATGCATATATAAATGTATATGTGTATGTGTGTATATATGTATGTATATGTATATATACCAGAAAGACCTGAAGATTGCTTGTGCAAGTTTTGTGACAAGTCTTGTAAGTTTGTTGCAGGACTCAAACATTTCATGATTGTATAGGGACAGGCAAGTTTCCAACATAGCTAATGCAGACAAACATTATGTCTGCCATGTGTGTAAGAGTGGTTGTAAAAGTGAAGCTGGCCTTAAGAATCACTTACGGGCCCATAGTGGGTGTTGGCTCAGGCAAAAATGATAGAAATAATAAAATTCTAAATGAAAAATACAAAAAAATCTACCTAGTGAAGAGATGGCCTTCTTTTGCAAAGAATTGACAATCAGTATATATATATATAAGAGAACTTGATATATATATATATATATATATATATATATATGACCAATGAGAACTGACCCAAACATAATTACAAATATCAGTGTTTTCTGACTTTTTGTCTGTTTTCTTTCAATCTCTGACTTTTAATAAAAGTGAAACATGTTAGATTGATATACGTTCCCTGTTTATTCTTTTATTTTATCATCCTTTTGGATTTTGATCCATAATTGATCAACATTTGATCTTTAACTCAAATGTATGTATGCATGTATGTGTATATATGCATCTGAATCTGTATATATTAATATACATATTTATAAACAATCCCACTTTTGAGTCTCTTAATATCGAAGGAGGCATGGATAGTGGCTCGGATTGAGGAATCGGAGAGCCAAGTTCAAATTCCAGTCAGATCCATTACATTCACTTACATGCTAATACCCTTAGGAAAGGTATTAATCCTCTTCTCTCTCCAGCTGTGGGCAAATAGCAGGACAGACCAGGTTCTATAGTGTTGGATGGTAACTGGTCTACTGCAGAAAGAAATAGCAACCTACTGTGGGAAAAAATCTGCTTTGTCAGGTATCAAAAGATACATGATCGCCTAATCATGTATCATGTATGGCACATAACTGACCGACTGAATATCAAACCCAATATTCTATGAAAACTACTTCTAGCATGTAACACACAAGTTCTCTTCTGTGACAATCTAGAAAATAGTAACTGATGTTTTAGCCATGGGATCTTTCCTGGGAGATTCTTTCAATAATACATGGTACACCTTGTAAATAAGATTTTTAGCACAACAGACAAAACATTTATATATGTCCAGTTCATCAATGATATATTTCTTCTTGCAAAAAACATTGGTAACATAATAAAACTAAAGCAAACATTTGATTTTGGTTTGATTTGGTTTGTTTTACAGCATATCAACCTTGATGGGTTATTTAATGCTGACAAAATTTTTATTGCTGGTAATATTTTTTTTCCAAAAATGTATTGCTGGTAATATGTTTTTCTTCAAAAATCTATTGCTGGTAATATTTTTTTCAAAAAATGTATTGTTGTTTGTATTGCTGGTAATATTTTTTTTAAAGTATTGCTGATAATAATTTTTTTCTTCAAAAATTTATTGTTGGTTATAAATTTTTACAAAGTATTTCTGGTATTAAAACCTATTTTTATATTTTCATAGTGTTTTGACCCCAGTTTAGGGGTCTAACTATTTGCCCATAGCTGGGAACTTAACAGATGCTTCCACCCTGGATCAGGGTAGACCTATGAACACCAGCAATTAAGAAGTGGTTCCACACTCCTCAAAACCTCCTGGTTAGAGGCTTTGCTGTCGGATGTAGCTTATCATTTTACCCCAGATGTGGATGTAGTTTATCATCATACCCAGGACCCACAAATATTTGAATGCAATTCCATAATTTGACTTGCATACAAATGCAATGTCAATAAAAAATCTTTTTTAATCTCCTCATTGATAATAAGCATCAATATGTCATCAGTTCAATATACAAAAAGGATTCACCAGTCTGGTAGATGATAATAAAGAACTATACTGTTTAACAAATAAACAGAGCATGTACTTAAATATGGGTATCAACTAAAAATAATGTTCAAGTAATATATATATATATATACATATTATTATTATTTTTATTATAAAAGATTATAATAAAAACGTGTTGAAATCTCTACACAAAAGATTTGATCGGTCAATAGCATCACATGCAAAACACTTTGATGATTTTCAGGCTAGATGCTTTGAGTGTCTAAATGTCTGGGCCATACAAAAATACAGACCAAATGAAACATTTTAGGAAGTGCAGATGTATTTGGAAGTTAAGCTTCCTGCTCAACAATAGCTTCTTCAACTTTGTGAATTGTTTTTTTTATATTATCTTCTGCCTGATTTTGTTTCATCACAAGGGATCCAAGTTTGACAAAAGATCTGATTTGCTCAATGTTCACACCATTGATGTCAAGTTTCAGTCTCTTAAAATTTCACAATGTGTTGTTCTTTGAGACCAATATTGATTTGGTTTTGCACGTATTGATCTTCAACCCATATTCCAAACTTTTTCTGGTTGATTGCTTCCAGCATCCATTTTAGGTTTTCAATATTGTCTACAATTAACACAGCATCATTTGTCTATCTGAGATGATTGATTCTTCTGCCATTTACTTGGGTGACAATATTTTCCAGCTCATCTTTGCATTGTTTGAAGATCCATTCAGATTACATGCTGAATAGCTAAACAGATCTGTTGTACATTCTTGCAAATTTTAAAGTAGTCTGTCATCTGGTTTTCAGTTCGCATAGCCACTTACTGATTCCAGTACAAATTCTGCAGTATTTGAACATTTTCTGTACTGATTTTCTGTTAAAAAATGACTTCCATCAATTTATCATGTTTGACCTCATCAAAAGCTTTTTTTATAATTGATGGCACAGAGCTATAAGTTTTTCTGTATTTGAATGCATCACTTACATATCATTCTCAAGTCAAACCTTGCTTCTCAAGCACCGGTCTCCTTATAAAATTCAAATTGCACATCTGCTATCTCTGTATCAATCGTTGGTTCTATCCTGTTCTTCAAAGTCTTTAGTAAGAGCTTTAGTGTGTGTAGCATTAGACTTATTGTGTGGTAGTCGCTATGTCATGTTGTATTTGACTTCTTGGCAATGGAAATAAATGTGGAGGTTATATTTCTCTTTGCATAAGAATTTAATTGTAAGTCATTTGTGAAAGAGAATATATTTGGAGCTTTTATTGATTCAATTTCTGATATCTATCAAATGAGCAAAATGAGGAAGTCCCATGGTGGATATTAGTTCCCACTGGTAGAATCAATTATGAACAATTGCCAAATGTTTATCTTGGCCATAAGCAAAACCTTCAGGTGGCCAGCAGCATATTTCATAGAAACAATGGTTGAATTTTCTAAATTTTGCAATCATAGATTTATATATTTAAATAGGAAGGATTCACTTGATTATTGAGTTTCTTGCCAAATTGTACAGTTGGAAACAAGATGGATAAATGTTTGATTTGGTTTTCATCCTTATTGGCTGAAATGTTTTAATTTTATGATTGTCAATGTTTTTCTTTTTAATATCATATTTTATTTAATAAACAAGGAAGTACTGAAAAGTTCTCAACCTGACTTGATTTCTTAATTTGATTTTCAAAATCTTGGTTGGACTGAGAACTTTTTAACATTTCATACTTTTCAGCTTTTCTATGTTTTTTTTCACATTCTGACATCAAGTATTTTTATTATTCATTTGTTTTATTGTCTTCATCTTTGTTGTTTTTATCATTTTTCATTAAATTCATTCTTTTTTCTTCTTCAGTTATATTTCATAGATTTTTTGTTTTTTCAATTGCAGATCACTAGAGATCAATTTTGTATTAAAATAACTTTTTTTCAGCCAATAAGAAAAACATGAAATGCTAAAAAATATTTGGTTTTGTATGTAAAACCTTGTGCATTCATCCAACATATTTTCAGATTAAATTAAAAGTTTTTCAGGATTAAAGTTGCTTACGGCCATATCATGATGGAACACTGGTTCCCATAAGATCACTAAAGTTAAGCAACTTTGAATCTGGTCAGTACCTAGATGATTGACTGCTTGGGAATACCAGCTTGGGTGTGTGGCTGGTGTAGTGGCTAATAGCTTGGAATTGTTAAATGGAGAGCCAAGTTCTAATTCCTGTTGGGTTTGTTATATTTACTACCCTAGGAAGAAATATGAATCCATCTCTTCTCGCCACTGCTATGGGTTAATTACTAAGGCTTGTATCACTAAACCATTATTATCTTCCCCTCTAAAATTCTTATAATCTAAAAATATTTTCTGGCTTTAAATAACCTGAAAAAGGTTAATAAGCCATAAAAAATGAATCAATCTATCAGATTAAAGTTGGGTTGTTCCTCCCTGAGGGCCTTATGTAAAAGCTAGCAAGCTCACCATGATACTTCTCAGAAATATCATCTCTTCAAAGTTTTGCACTGTAACTTAAATAACTTTTACTGAGGCAACTATCCTAATTTGGGCAATCAAAAAAAAAAGGGCTGTGTTCCTTCCCAGGATTCCTAGATTTATTCTTTGAATTCAAGTGACTTTGATTTTCAAACAACCTATTCATACAGGGTAAGCATTAATATAGGATAGCCAGAAGCCATTTCTAATTAGATGCCAACATCATTTCTCAGGTTTGAGGCTTCAGAATATTGTTTCAGTCACAGTTACTTTTTCATGTGTAAATAATGTTTTGCATTTTTTATGCCATGAAGGAATATATTTAAGAATATAGTTTTTCCTGTGTTAGTTATAATTTAAATTAATTTTCCTGGTCAGCTCCAGGTGTCTTTTCTAGTTCTGATTTAAATATTAGTAAATTAATGTAAGCTAAACATGGAAATCTTATGGTACATACTTAAAATTTAGGAATAGAACATCAAATTATATATATATATATATATATATATATATATATATATATATATATATGCACAAGTTTCATGAAAGACAACTGAAAATGTACTGCATTTAAGCTTTTTATTAAATTTTTCTAATGTTTTTTCTTTTCTGGACATAATGTATGAAAAAATTGTCTGAGTGCTTTCAACTATTCTTTTAGTGATTATCAAGGACTTTTTTTTATTTTACACACCATATGCCCAGAAAAGAAAAAAACTTATAGGAAAACAATAAAAATTAAATAATAAACTTAAATGCAGTACCTTGTCAGTCAAAACTGTATAAAAGAGAGAGGGATTGCTGCCAAAATCTGCAATTATATATATATATATATATATATATATATATATATATATATATATATACTAGCAGTAGAGCCCGGCGTTGCCAGGGGGATGTAACAGTAAGAGATAGATCAAGTATGGACGATCATAAAGACTGAAAAATAAAATTGACAAAGATTATTGTTTAAGGTTGATGAACACGCATGTCTTAGTTTTTTTTTTTTTTTAAGAATTGGTCAAACCCAAATTCAAACAAAAACATTGTTTACCATCGTTATGAGTTATGGAAATAATACAGTAATTCCATCTACGTTTTACGCGCGCGCGAATTTTCCTCCCTTCCTTCCACACTTGCGTGTGTGCGCGCGCGTCCACTGATTACATCCCTCCCTTTCTCGTTAAGCTAAATATAGTAGTAAACCTTTTCTTTAGTTTTAAATAAGTAAGTTATTGTAGTTTTATCAGCACCTGTTGATATCTAAAAAATTTAAATTACCGTTTTTCCCGCGTTTTCTCTGACGTCACGGACAAACTAATCGTTTGAGTTCAGTCGGGCTAAAAATTTCGATCCATGAAGTTGACTCATTTATCCCTCGTCAGTCAACCTTAAATACAGACAGGGATATCTTACTGACAACAAATAATTCTTCATCCCTTTTGGCTCGTCGCAAAAAATTTTCTTCAAGACGATGCAACCAACAACAAATAAGTCTTCGTCCCTTTTGGCTCGTCGTAAATAATTTTTAGCAGCAAATTCAATGCCTGATCCCAAAATCTGAGATGACTGAACTTTCTCACTACCGTGAACCTGAACAAAAAAGGGTATAAAAAAACAAACAACACAAAAACACTACACACACTTTACAATACCCAAATCCACAGTAAGTACTTTTTTTTTTTATCTGTGCACATCTACACCTCGTGTTAACGAGTTCCTTTTTCCAGAACTTAAAAAAAAAAAAAAATTCCCGCCTTGTTCACCTTGCTATCCTATTTTTGGCGCGGAACATTTTCCCCGATCTCATACCACGAGATAATCTACTTGTTTTTCCATTTAATAAAAAAAAATACACTTGTTTAAAAAAAAAAAAAAAACTTTTCCCGCCTTGTTCACCTTTTGCTATCCTACCAAAAAAAAAGTGAAGTTTTGTTGAAATCGGTTGAAAAATGTAGATAGCCTTTCTCTGTAATCTTTTACAATTTATGATTTTACTTATTGAATACAGTAAAAAAAATTGCATATTTTGCTTGTGGTGATTCATAATTAGAATTTGATTTGAATATATTTTCCACTCGTTGTTTCTAATACAAAAATATTAACTTTATTTGGGTTTATTAATTCATTACAAGTACTGTGTTCTTTCCTTAATAATTATCATCTTCGAAATATTGTTGTTTTTTTTGTCTATCAGATTTCTTACGTCGGCATTTTTAAATTATTTCTTAATACTTTCTTTTTAAATATTGAATTAATTTCAAATAGAACCAATGCCTTATTGATCTGCCTTGTAACAAATTGCAAAGGGAATTGTAAAAACAGCCCTAAAGTACGTGGAATTATCTTTCCCTATTTTTAACGAAAATTTCAGATGCTAAGAACGATTAAAAAATGTAAAAAAAAATAATTCCCCCAAAATACTTTTGATCTTTCCTCTTTAATAATAATATGAACATTAGACGATAAAAATTTTGTTTTTCGTCAAGTTCGGCGTCTTTTTCATGCTATGCTCATTTGTTTACATTTTCATTCTCAATGTGAGTTTAATCGTGTTTTCAAAAATGATTTTCTTAAAAAACAACTGTGTTTTTTCCATTTTCGGTCCCGTTAGAACCACCACAAGGTAATTTTATGTAGTCCTGTGAAGTTTTGTTGAAATTGGCTAAAAATGTAGGAAATTCGATCCAACATATAAACGTTACAGACACACACACACACACACACACACACACACACACACACACACACACAACCTGCGTTTTATAATAAGTAAGATATATATATATTTAAAGATATTTTTGTAGGTACACAATTTAATGATCGGAATAAAAGTGTAAAACTTAATATTACTAGACATATTAAAAACAGTCAAAGCCTTGGCCTAAAGCGTGATTACAGGAGATTATTGTTCTCATATGAATTCAATTTCATTTTTTGATTGGATTAGGTTCTCTAGGTTTTTGGGTTTTGTCCATCAACGGCAGTGTGTTAAATTGTCAACAAAGCAGGATGCTAAGTTGAAAAGTTTGGTTCACAAGAAATATGGAGTTACAGCTGAACCAAATTTAAATAATATTATTAATTTGTCCACGCATGAACTAACCGAGTTAGAATCTTTTGTTCTTTCTCATGGGTTGGACTTTTGCATTCCACCCTCTATGCCTGACAAGGAGAAGATTTTTTCAGAGTTCGAGGTTTTCTATGCTCAGTTGGCAAGACTGTCTGCTACTTCTGTTGACGTGGTGAGCAATTTGAAAGCCCAGTTAAATAATTCCGCACACACCTTTTTCCAGTTCCTCTGTTGCTACTGCTGAATCCAAATGGAAAGCAGAATATCAGCGTGTTGTTAATTCTCTGAGGAATAATTATAACTTGATAATTTCCAGACCAGATAAAGGTGCTGGAATAGTTATTTTAGATCGAGCATATTATATAACCAAAATGTCTTTGATCTTAGAAGATACTTCAAAATTTACTAAACTTGGATCTGTTGATACCTGTGATGGAACTACTTCAGGTGAAGCAAAATTTCAAAAATTACTTCTGAAGTGGGTAAAGTCTGGGCTACTTCCACAAGAAATTGCCAACGAAATCCATCCTTCTGGTTCTATTCGTCCTCGTCTGTATGGTCTCCCGAAAATCCATAAAGAAGGTGTACTATTACGACCGATTTTATCTATGATCGGTTCAGCCCAACACAAGGTATCCCAATGTCTCTCCACACTTTTGGATCCTGTGTTGCAATGTTTGGATGGATTTTGTATAAAGGATTCTTTTTCCTTTGTCGACCGCATTCAAAATTTGTCTTCTTCTGGCAAGTTCATGTGCTCTTTTGATGTCTGTTCTCTGTATACTTGTGTCCCTCTAATGGAAACCATCGATATTTGCTGTGATTTTCTTTATCGCAGTTCATTGACTCCACCTAGTATTCCGGAGTCAATATTTTGTGAATTGATGAAATTTGCCACGTCCTCCGTCGAATTTAGTTTCAACAACACCATGTACCGACAGATTGACGGAGTTGCTATGGGCTCGCCTTTGGGTCCGGCACTTGCCAACATATTTGTTGGCTTTCATGAAGAAAAGATACGAAAGAGTCCACTTGGTCCTCAAATGTATTGTCGGTATGTTGATGATACCTTTTGTTTATTCAACAGCGAAGTTGAGGCTGATCAGTTTCTTTCGTTTTTAGATGGTATCCATCCAGCACTGAGGTTTACTGTTGAGAAGGAATCCAATCTTCAACTGACCTTTTTGGATGTATTAGTACATCGTACATTAACAGGTTTTCTTACCTCTGTTTATAGAAAACCAACTTTCGAAGGGTTGTATACGCGTTGGGACTCTTTTTGTCCCACTAATCGCAAGATTAACATTATTAAAACCCTCCTACATAGAGCATTAAATATCTGCTCTGAGCCCTTCTTGGACGATAAAATCGACTTTATTAAGGATACCCTATGTAGTTTAGGTTATCCTCTTGATACTGTTAATTCAGTTATCCGCAGTAAGGTTAAAGAGTTCAGATGTGTCAAGCTCTAGACTGTCAAAAAATGCCCAGTTTACCTCAGATTACCCTGGATTGGTACCAAATGTGAAAAAATAGCTAAACAAATTTTATCCAATGTTCATCGTTGTTTTTTCTCTGCTGAGGTTCGGA